CAGATTGTAGCATTGTGCTGCTAGCTTGTTGATGAATTTGTAAGAGACAACAAAAGGAATTGGCTTTGTGTTATGTTATATTGCTTCTCTTGCTAGTTATGAAGCGTGAGATAAAAACCCCCAATATTCCTGAAGAGAGTTTCCAAGGCGATAAGAAAGGGAAACAAGGGTATGGTTTGGTTCTTTTTTCTTCTGTTGGTTTTTCAGTGTTGTTGAGGTTGGATTGCTTTTAGCACCAATAAGACATTCTCAGGTTAATCTTGCAAGCTCTTTCTGAAAACAGGAGGACTTCTGGCCCTGCAAGACGATCAACCAAAGGACAATGGACATCTGAAGAGGTGGGTTCTAGTGTCTTTTGCTTGCTTGCTGTCTGATTCTTGCGTACTTTATTTATTGTGAATCAGGCAAGTCTGTAATCAGAGATGTATCCTGGAACAATGGCTTGAGTTTAATCAGTTGGTTGTACCACAACCTATCGTTGCTTTGTATTGTTATATTTAACTGGTTGACATTAGACATCCTTTGTATGTACTGAAGCTTTGACTCTATGAAATTTCTGTTAGATTAATTCTGTTTTCCTGGATCAGGACGAAGTCTTGTGTAAAGCTGTTGAGCGTTTTCAAGGAAAGAACTGGAAGAAGATAGGTAAGTCAAGTAGTGAATTCTGACTTGTTTTTCCTAGTTTACTTTTCCAAGGTAATTGAAGATCACATCAATACTCTATTTTAGGTGCCCACGTTTATTTGCAGTCTTCAGTAAGTATGGTGAAATCAGTGTGTGATTTTAATTGTTTCAACTTTTCAGCTGAATGTTTCAAGGACCGGTCAGATGTCCAGTGTCTTCATAGATGGCAAAAGGTCTTGAACCCAGAGCTTGTGAAAGGGCCGTGGTCGAAAGAGGTGATTTTCTAAATGTGGTGAATTGCTTTACTTAACTTTACTCAGCATGGTGGTTGTTTCCGTTTTTTTACACCACGTTAGCGTCTGTAATGTGTTTCATGACATTATTTGTCCATATTTTGAAGGAGGATACAACAATAATTTCTCTGGTAGAAAAATACGGGCCAAATAAATGGTCAACTATTTCTCAGCATTTACCTGGGCGCATAGGAAAGCAATGTAGGGAAAGGTATACACATACTCTCTACATCTTTTTCCAGAAAAATATGACATTTGTTTTGGTACTTCAGTGCACATGAACAATATTGTGGCTCATGTAGGTGGCATAACCATCTTAACCCTGGCATCAATAAAAACGCATGGACTCAGGAAGAGGAATTGACTCTTATTCGTGCGCATCAAATTTATGGAAATAAATGGGCAGAGCTAAAGAAATTTTTGCCTGGAAGGTAAATTCCTTTTCCATGTGTCCTAGTATACATCATTTGTGTAACATGTTCCTGAAAATTTGGTGGCCTCATATGCAATGGAATATAAAAAAATTTGCTGGTGGAGATTATGGTCTATCCTTCCTTTTTGTTGATTTGCTTATTTGTTCTTACGTTCCCATAGGTCAGATAATTCAATAAAAAATCACTGGAACAGCTCAGTTAAGAAGAAGTTAGATTCCTACTATGCATCAGGTCTTTTAGATCAGTGTCAAAGCTCGACATTAGTTGCCCTTCAGAACAAATCTGTTGCTTCATCTTCCTCATGGATGCAAAGCAGTGGAGATGAAACTAATTCTAGGCCAGGGGCTGATGCTGAAGAATCAGAATGCAGCCAAGCTTCAACTGTTTTCAGTTGTTCACAATCTACAAATGATTTACCAGATGAGGTTAAATCTGCAAATGAGGAATTTTACATGCCTGAGTTGCCTTCAGGAACAGAGCAGCAGAACACAAACTCTGCATCTCATGCAGAACAGTACTACCCTTCCTTTGAAGATGTCAAAATTGTTGTCCCCGATATTTCTTGTGAAGCAGAATGCTCAAATAAGTTTCAGAATCATAATTGTTCTCAGGAGGTTAGAACTAACCCAACTACGGAGGATCAATTGCAGGGTGTATCTAATGATGCTAAACAAGACCTCGGCGTAGACTGTCCTCAGTTATTGACCCATACAATGGACGTAGATGGAAATACTGAAGCACTCAAAGCTTTTCAAAGTTCAGTCAGATTAACTGATCAACCTTTGTTGCCAAACTCGGACACTGGTTCTCATCAACAAGCTCAAACCTTGATCTCAGACGAGGAGTGCTGTAGGGTTCTTTTCCCAGATACCAAGAAAGATAGCAGTACATCTTCTGGAGAACAAGGTCCAAATATGGTTGGCCCTCAAAAGGGCAAAGGATCTCTTATCTCCCAGTCTACAGAAACCCATGCTCAAGAAACTGGAAACATTCCAGCTTTATCCTGGCATCCTCCAAGTTCTGAGGGTCTGGCGAGTCATAATTGTGCTCCTTTGTTAGATTCAGCTGTGAAGGACTCACTTTTAGTCCGTAATGATTCTAATGATCCTATTCAAGGTTGTCACCTTCTTGGAGCTACTGCATTAGAACATACAACTGATACAAATGATAGTTTCATCAACACTGATGGACGTGTAACTTCCCATGGCAATTATGATAATGATGGTATCCCAGAACAGCAGGAGCTGTCATATATTCCCAAGGATTCTTTGAAGCTGGTACCTCTGAATAGTTTTTCTTCTCCTTCTAGAGTGAATAAGATTTATTTTCCTATTGACGATAAGCCAGCTGAAAAAGACAAAGGATCTCTTTGTTACGAACCTCCTCGTTTTCCAAGTGCAGATATTCCTTTCTTCAGCTGTGATCTTGTACCATCAAATAGTGACTTAAGGCAAGAGTACAGCCCCTTTGGTATTCGTCAGTTGATGATTTCTTCGCTGAATTGTACAACTCCGTTAAGGTTATGGGATTCACCGAGTCACGATAAGACTCCTGATGTCATTAAAGATGCTGCCAAAAGTTTTAATGGAGCACCATCCATCTTAAAGAAGCGGCATCAGGACTTGCTGTCACCTCTGCTTGATAGAAGAAAAGAAAAAAGGCTTAAAAGAGCTGAGGCTTCCTCCTTGTCTAAAGATTTTTCACGCTTAGATGTTATGCTTGATGATGAAGATGATTGCAAGTCCTCTTGTCCATTAGATTCTCCTGACGACAAAAATAGATGTGCCTCCCATTCCGAAGCCAAACATAATAGGGATTCTGCTTCAGGTCGGTCAGATCAAGAAATGATTTCTATATATGAGGACCCAAAGGAAACATTGGAGTCCGGAGGAGTGACTTCTGTGACAAACGAAAAGGGATGTTATGACGGTGGTGCTTCAGCTAAAAATGTAAGTCCGTCTTTGTACGTGCATATTATCTGTTATCACTTGTTAATTCCAAGTCATACTATTCTCTGATGTCTAGTCTATGCTTTAAGGTGCATTGTCTGGTATACATATATTGAGTCTACTAGATAACTTCTTGTTGCTTAACACATCAATCTAGTTTAATTCTCTTCTTGTGGGAACATATCAATTAGTTTGCCCAACACATTGCATCTAGTTATTTGAGCTGTCTATGTCAAGGATCATAGTTTTATTGTTGGTGCTAATTCTCCTATAATGCAACCTTAAAAAGCTTTAATCTCTTGCTTTCCTTTGCACCAGGACCAAGAAACTACTACAAGTTATGTTGATCATAATGATGAGGAGATACAACTGTGTTCTCCTGATAAAACTGGATCTAGACCAGATAATGCAAAAGATCCATCGAACCAACAGAAAAGGTCATTAGATACAATTCCAACTGGAGAATTCTCACCAGAACCTCTATACACTGCAGACTACATTCCTTTATCAGCAATCGCAGGAAATAAAACCAACACTGCAGAGAGCAGTGTTAATATTGATTTCAGCATGTAAGTTTTACTTTTCCTCTGTATGTGTTTGACACCTGATTTTGCTATTGAATCTTATATGCTGGAAAGTTTTATTCATTCTGAGTTGTTTTGGTTCCACTCGTTTTCCAGATTTGATGGAACGCCGTTCAGAAAACTCCTTGATACCCCATCACCGTGGAAGTCCCCTTTACTCTTTGGTTCTTTCTTGCAAAGTCCAAAGTTGCCTCCAGAAATTACATTTGAGGTAAATATGCGAGATGTAATAACTAGGAATGAAACTACTTTCTGGACATTCTGCTTTTTGTTTTAGACTGAAGTGCCTGTTGATGGACGAATATTCTTTGTTGTTTTTCTTATATTTCCAGGATATTGGGTGCTTTATGAGTCCGGGAGAGAGAAGTTATGATGCCATAGGACTGATGAAGCATTTGAGTGAACACACAGCTACGGCTTATGCAGATGCTTTGGAAGTTTTGGGTAATGACACACCTGAAACGATACTCAAGAAGAGACAGCTGAACAAATCTATTCAAGGGAAAGAAAACCAGCACTGGCCTCACGATCAACTAGAAAACCGATCCCAGGTAGCAGGTTCAACTGTCACATAACATATCATATAAACTCTTAATAAGTTAGGAACCGATAAACTCCTTTATTCAATTCACTATAGAGGAGACTTATTTAAGGAGAAGGTCTCCAAACTCGTAATCATTGCCCAAACCAAGACCCTTGACAAATCCAGAAACCTCATAGTCCCCCCCCTTTAAACCTTCAGCTCTCAACTAACTGTGAAGTCTGTTGCTGAGCTGGCAAAGCTACAATTCACTGCTCAATCCCATAGGCTAGTTGCAAGAAAACCTTACCAACTCTCTTCTTCTGTTCTTGGTCTAGCTTAACGTTGAAATTGAATCTTGGACTGGTAGAGATAAGAGGAATATCAGTTTGATTTTATAAGTTAACTTGCTCTGAACCAATTATGTGTGGAAATGTAGGTGGAGCGTCGCACCTTGGACTTCAGTGATTGCGGGACACCGGGGAAAGGAAATGTATCCTCGGCTTCTCCGGGGGGTTACTCGAGCCCATCAGCTTACCTTTTGAAGAGTTGCAGATAGCAGGAGGCTGCTTTTGTTCATAGAGCTCTGAAGGGATATTCACTCTCGCCTTCAGTTTTTTTGATCCCATATGTCCATCTCCTCCTTTTTCTGTCTTAACTTTCTTGTTTCTAATTTCTTTTTTTAATGTGTAGATCTTTCAACTCTGAACATGATATAACTTTTAAATAGCGAAAAAGTTACTTCTCAAGAAATTAATTTTATAAAGTTGCTCTGTTTATGATCTAAGAAACTTTTCACAACGTTCAGGTATGATTTCATAACATCAACCAATGTAACTTACAAAGCAGAATCTTATATTACATTACAAATTTTGCCCAAAAATAAAAAAAAAATTTTAGAATCGGAAAGTATAACAATATCAGTATGAATTTCGATACTTGTTGTTGGTGGTCATTTTCATCTTGTTTCTACAGTATGTTAATGTTAGTCTTCCGTGTTGGGCTTAGTTATTGCATTGCAAATCACCTTCAGCTTTGTTGTATTCGTGCTCCTTTGGTGTGAAATTTTGGAGTCGGAGAATGGTTTCTGAAGCGTTAAGAGTATGTCTGCTAAGGTGATTTAATTAAGCTTGTCTTTAGAATCGGTGTATTGTAAGTTAAAGTTTGGCATTTCGGTTGGTGCTTTACTCTTTTCTCGAATATGTTGCCGGATTGTGGATCTCATCAATGGAGAGTAGACTCGAGGACATGCGTGTAGGTCGACAAACTCCAGCTGCTGAGGTAACTGACGGTAAGATTGGAGGCTGTGCGTCCAAACAAGAAAAGGATTGGGAGGTGGATTGGTAATGGGTGGACAAGCCTATGAGATGGATGGGACTAGGAGAATTTCCCGATACTGGTTATCTTGTTGCCATGGCGAATTCGGGACGAGGAAGAATAGTGACACTTTGGTGGAAGGATTGGGAGATTTGGTGTGTAGAGATTTCGTTTGAGAGACGCACTTCTCAAGAGCTTTGGGGATTCGTTGAATGGTCTACAAAGTTTGTTTGAAGACAGATATGGCTGTGATTCCTGCATTCCGCTCTAGTGACACATTCTGTTTTTTCTTGAGTTTTTTTACTGTTGTTTTTGAGAAATGAATTGCAATTCTATGTACATATATATATCCTGACTGCTCTGATTTATCTACCGGATACAAACTTCTAGTGATCCATCCATAAACAACATCAGCAAAAAAGCAGAGACAAGAGAGAAACCCGAGAATCTCTGAAGAGGTTAACAGGAACTCTCATACTTCAAATTCTTCTTTCCAAGAATTTTGCCTAGAAAGAGTATGAGTTGCGGGCACTTCATTGTAAAACTCGTTCGTCTTCTTCATCAGAAGATTGACCCATCCATCCTTTAAACCCCTCGTTCACTCGTCTTTCAACATCTGGTGTGAATTCCAAAGGATCGGCTTCAAGCATTTCCAAGCCCTGATGACTTCTGTTCCCAAACTCTCCTCCTTCGTCAATAGTTAAAGCTGTTCTTCTTCTAAGGGAGAAAGCAGTTCCCGCATACAAGATTACCAAACCCCATGAAGAAATTTCATAGCACCAAAACAATGGCACAGAACAGCTGCTTCCTAGCGTCAGGAGGCTTGAGCCGAGAAATATAGCGAGGAGACCATAGATGATAGCAAACACGACATTCAGAATTGACAGGCAACGCACCCCACCTGTGAATTTATAAGACATGATCAAGAAGATCAGTAACCTATTTGAGGTCCAAGCTTAGTGATACGAAACTCTCAAGAGCCGAAGGTGGTAAAATCAATAAATAGCAGATGAAACAAAGATTGTACATAAAGTTTACAAGAATAAGTTTGCTACTGAAAAGGAATGAATCCATTACAAGCACACATGGAAAATACAAAAAATATATATATGGAAAGCTGAATACATCTTAAAGAGAGAGAAGAGTGTATACCTCTTCTTGAAGCACAGTAGCTATTTTCAACGACTTTTAAAAACCCATGACGGTGAGGAGCGGAATAAGCCACAAAAATTCCTGCAGTATTGCAACATAACGAGAAATTCAGAACAAGACATACCACATCTTGATATAAAGATTAACAAAAGACACCAAAAATGAGTAACCGTAGAGAGGTTTAGCCATTTAAGATGATAAAACAATGTTCCATGTTATTAGAGTTACTGCTTGAAGGACTAAATGAAAAGAGATGATAGATGGGAGTCTGCTCAAGATTTGGCAACATGTAACAATCAAATTCTGAAAAGTAAAAGTAAAAGCCCTCAAAACTTAGAGAGCTAAGCTCGAAAAGGAAACAAAATTTAGACCCACGAATCTAACAAAATCTAGAAGAGGAATTAACTGGTTTTACCAAAGTAAATCAATACCAACTTGCCTTATGGCTGACCCTTAAACCCCAATAAACCTGAGCCAACCCAGAACTAGACATGTCTTCATGTAGTGGAATGGAATCAGTCAAAACTAATGATCTCTAAAACTAAACCTACCAACAAGTATTCAAGTTTGTAGGACACATCAACCAATTCTCTCTAACAAATTTTCAACTCAGAAGCCATTTGCCAAAAAATGAGCTTAAAACTTCAAGACATATCTCCTTCAACCCTACTCAGAACTAAGCATTGTATACATCATCGAATGGAATCAATGACAAACCACACAAAATCGTAAGCAAGAACACAAGCTATAGAGAGACTGAATCTCACCTGCTACAAGATAAACAGAGGACACAAGAAAGATTATGGTCGAAGGAACAAAAACAACCATCCAGTAGAAATCCACAGTTTCTTGATCCGTCAAGTAAAAAGCACCGGGAAACAAATCGGAATCACGAGCTTTGCCATAGATAGGCAAAGGCTGTAGCTTTACATCGCTACAAAATGGTCTCTTTAGAACATTCCAAGGAAAGACGATTTTCAAGCTGACGATCGTACAAGTGAAGATGACGAAGCAAAGTAAAGCCACGATCGACGTTACTATCAGCCTCTGAAGCTTAATCCAAGCTCTATCTTCTTCCCTGAGACTCTCGTACTCTTGTTTCGGCATAAACGCCTGACGCAATGCGTCTCCAATGATCGCCATTGAAGAAACAACAAAAAGCCCTAATCGAACAACAGTATAAACCTTTTTCACCGGGATGTCTCCCTGATTCCCGAAGAAATCAAAGTATGATTTTTTTTTTCCCGAATTTGATCAGGAACCCTAGATCTTAAAGCTTGTGCAAACTTGAAGAAGAATCAAAGCTCAATTCAGAAAAAGAAAAGAATCAATGGAATCGAGAAATGAGGAAGAAGAGCGGCGATACGGCAACTGCCGTGGAGCGTGGAATAATTACAAGGGAAAATTAAGAAAATAACCCAAAAATAAATTAAATTTAAGAAAATAGACCACATCTTTTATAATTAGAGAAATATGCTAAAGTTTGTTATCCTTATTTAGATAATTATTTAAATAAAACGTGTATAATAATCCAAAAAGTTAATAATCCAGTATCTAATGATTCTAATCCATATTCCTAAAACGAAAAAAAAAAGCTTAATAATCTATATAGTAACATGTATCTAATAGATCACTATTATATATTTATATATTTAGAACTATCATCTAATAGTAAAACAAATAAATATCAGTACAGTTATCTCATTCATATTATCATATACAGTTAGACTATAATGTTGTGAACATAATCCATTTCTATTTTTTTACGAACTTAAATAATTTTATTTCAAAATAGAAGAAGAAAAGTGGATTTACCAAATATAATTTTCAAAATTTAACACAAAATATGGCTACAATTTTGGAAATGGGGGAGTGGAAGAGTTAGTGTCGGGTTTTCTAGTTAATTAAAATGGTTTAATCCTCATTTCAACCATACAAAGACTATTCTTTTAATTTTAGAAGATCTGGCCTAGTATTTTAATTTTCTTTTAGATTTGGCCTATTTTTTTAATTCTCCCTAATTACAAATAGACCCCAATATGTAGTTAAAACTTCGTATTTATCCAAATTTCTGTTTA